TGTCTGTCCACGACGCCACCATTTGTCGTCTAAGAAATCATTTCAGACAGCACTGTTTGACAATCTGCAACATGACCGCAGACAATGTGTCACCACCACCAGTTCATAGCCAGTCCAAAATTAGATAAAACCAGGCAAAAAGCAGTCCAAAATCAGTTGAAAATCAGCCTAAAACTGGCGTAAAACCAGCCCAAAACCAGTTCAAAACCAGTCTAAAACCAGTCCTAAACCGGTCCAAAATCCACCTAAAACTAATCTAAAACCAACCCAAAGCTAGTTCAACACCAGCCCTAAACCAGTACAAAATAAGTTCAACACCTGCCCTAAACCAGCCTAAAACAAGTACAAAACCAGTTCAACACCAGCCCTAAACCAGCCTAAAACCAGTACAAAACCAGTTCAACACCAGCCCTAAACCACTCCAAAACCAGTTCAATACCAGCCCTAAACCAGTACAAAATAAGTTCAACACCTGCCCTAAACCAGACTAAAAACAGTCCAAAACCAGTTCAACACCAGCCCTACACCAGTTCAAAATCAACCTAAAACCAGTTCAACACCAGCCCTAAACCAGTCTTAAACCAGTCCAAAACCAGTCAAAACCCAGTCCAAAATCAGCTTAAAACTAGTCTAAAACCAGTCCAAAACCAGTTCAACACCAGCCCTAAACCGGCCTAAAACCAGTTTAACTCCATCCCTAAACTAGTCTAAAACCAGTCTAAAACCAGTCCAAAATCAGTCACACACCAGTCCTAAACCAGCCTAAAATCAGTTCAACACTTGTCAAACACTGTCCTAAACCAGTCCAAAACCAGTCAAGACCCAGTCCGAAACCAGCCTAAAACTCACCACCTGAGCCCGTTTCTAGCTCGTCCATCTGCAGAGTCATTTGCAGAGAGGCTGATGAAGATGTTGGTGTGAACAACCACATATTATCTGCTCAAACTGAGACAGAATCACCTGAGGGCAGCTGATTTGTGATCTTGTTGCCCACCAAGGCCTTTGCTCTAACAGCACAACGGCATCATAATCAGCTCCAGCGGGCAGATATTCATTTTTGTTGGATGTAGATGGAGGACGAGTCTTGTTTTCAGCTGTGGCAGATGGCAAGTTTGGCATCGTACAGGTAAACACTATGTGAACGTCAACATCACGTGGAGGTTGGACCGTAGAGATGGAGGAGTGACGGTGTAGGCAGTGATACGCCACGGACAAAGAACAATTTTATCGATGGCAATCTCGACGATGAAATTAATTCGCCACCACCACTTGACGTTTCAACAACACATCCTCATGTCTCCAGAATGTGCACTGGCCTTCTGCAGCAGCTGAAAATGTTCCAGTGCTACAACCCGTAGCCTATTCATGCATGTAAATGGTAAATGGTCTGCACTTACGAGCATTTTTCTTTCTTAGTGGTACTCAAAGCACTTGACAATGTGTCTCCCATTCACCCATTCACACAACAATAAAGACAGAAGTGGCATTCAAGGTGCTTTCCTGCTATCGGGAGCAACTTTGGGTTCAGACTGTGATGTCCGTCAAGTTCCCGTTTTATGTTTGCACATTTTACGTCTTGTCTTTCCTGTTGTATTTTGTAATCACCAACCTGTTGTCTCTGTTTTAGGTTCACTTCCTGCACGCCCTTCCCCTGTCTCGTCGCACCTGCTCCCTGATTGGTCCCCTGACCTGTTTCCCATCTTCCCTCATTACCTCTTGTACTTCACCCTGTGTGTCTCGAGGTGTCGTTGCCAGTTTGTTGTACTTCGCGGTCCTCGTCCCAGCGTTTCATAGTCATAGTCTGTTTTGTGTAGGACCTCGTTTCTGCCTTTTTGCCTCTCGTCTTTGGATACCTCTGCCTTGCCGATGGATCGCCTGTGTACCGAACCCTGCCTGGTAATAAACCTGCTTTTCTGCCTGAACCTGTGTGTGCAATTGTGTCCACCTGCTCCGTTCTTAGTGAGTTCTTGACACAGACCCAGCCTTGTGACTAGTGGACAACCCGCTCTAACCCAACAACATCTAGATGTCCAATAACATGATCTCGTCCTCAAAAATGTCCATCAACTCCACCAAGCCCTTCAGGAGGAGCACTGTACACCAACACCCTCAATAACTCTCTGATCTGTGGCTTGCTACTGACTTGTGACTTCTGCTGTATGACCCTCGTCTCCACCTGCACATTATCGTTTCCAGTACGGTTTTAGAGATGCTGTTTGTCGGAACAACAAATACTTATTCCCCTATGTGACAAAAAAAGAACGGTTAGACTTTAATAAAATATTACACGCTGCGTTTCGTATTTTTCTTCGGTATATTATTCAGCATCTCTGGTGATTTTGGTGCATCACCTTGTTAACTTTAGCTGGTGTTTGAACTCCCATAAAGCAACAGTTCAAAGAGTAATCTGTCACCACTCATGCGTCAAGAGACACCGCTCCTGCTGCGGATGCAATATATGGAAAGCTAAGTGGATTCTGGCTGTTTAGAGCTTTTACATCAAAACGATGGATCGCTGTGTATAATTCTACACCGCAAAGAAAGCATCCTACAGAAACAGCAAGTCTATCTTTTATTTTCTTCTCTTTATTTCATACCTTTACTGTTTGTTTAGCTCGCCGGTTGATGCAAGACTTGTTTGTGTAGGACTCGTATTATGTCGAAATAACTATGTGGATTCTGGTCTACAATGGATTTAGGGATTACAGGAGGTAGTGGGCTCGATGACACTCTTAAACTTGGCGCACTCCCCCAAGGACAAGACACTGTCAGCACATTGCTTACACTGCTGCATCTGCACACGTACACACACACACACACACACACATATCGAGGTGTAATAGGGTATAATTTAGGGGGCTGTAATAGTGAGATGTGATGCTCGGTTGTAAGACAGCATGGCTAATTCCCCGGTTATGTTATCTCTGAGAGACAGATGTTTCCACCAAAGATTACTATGCGCACACACACACACACACACACCAAACAACAACAACAACAACAGCAGCACACATACACACACACTGCGAGCGTGCAGAGATACATGAAATCATTCCATCCTCAGACAATTGCAGCAGCGGGGGAGTCTAAAATAGCCTTATTGACCAAAAAAAAATAAAAATACAGATCAATGATGAAGGCAACTTTTTCTGAGAGTTAATTATGAGATGTAATGAGTTTCTGCTGGAATACAACAAAGAGAGAAAAATAAAAACAACACATAGTTTTTCCTTGGACAAATATTTCATTTAAAGCGGGTAAATGAGTCGTATGAGAGACGTTGACCTTTTCTCTTATTGATCAAAGAGGGAGGGGAAAAAAAGAAGACATTTTCCAAGCTTTTTAAGGCGCTTTAAAACACACCGTATCACCTTTAAATGATCATATGAAACCCTGTAAAAGGTGAGTATTAACCCGTTGTGTCAGTCAATCAGCTGCAAAGGTTTTCTTTTTGTTTTGTTTTTTTCTCACAGGCCATTCAAGAGAAATCCATTCTATACTGGAAACGGTTTCTCAGCAGAGGATAAAGGTCACTTGATTTATGGCTTCTCGCGGTGGCTGTCAGGAAAACCCTTGGGTTAGATAACCATCACTCCCATCGTGTCGTTAATTCACAGTTTGAATGCATGGCCACAGCTTTAAGGAACGTGATGTGGATGAGTGACACGCGGTTCCTGTCAATCCTCGAGTCAGTGGAGTCGATTTTGTCCTTGATCTTTTCTTTTTTTTTTTTGTTGTCCTGCTTACTAAGTCTCTTGCTTAGAATATCCATAAAGCTAATCCAAACACAGTGTCCGTGATTCAAAAAAAAAACACTGTGGCTTTGAGAGGTTGAATGAATTGCTTGTGCACCTTGAAGGGAATCTGAGTGCTCGAGCGTGACTTCAAGAGGACAATTTACACAAATGAACATGTGAATGTGCGTATATAAATAGTAGGACTGCCTCTCAAACTCTGTTTCTCCTCTGAGCTCTGATCTGCCTCGTCCTGTTTCCGTTTAACCGGTTTCAGCTTTAAGTCTCCAGATTCTGATAATTTCCCCTTTTAATCCCTTCAGAGGAGCACCCCGCTTAACTCTCTAATTAAGTCAATGATACACACATACGCCGACACGGGGTAAACAGCACACACACACACACACACACACACACACACAGCTTGTAGAATTCAGATATCTAATGCACGGACAACTGGTGGTTGCCGTGTCGATGCTGGTGTGTGTGTGTGTGTGTGTGTTTGTGTGACTGTATTTCAATGATTAAGTCCCAATCAGGATGTTGTTATGACAACACATGCATTTTTAAGCTGTTAATCCAGGATTATTCTCCCCTCCACTCATCTCATTACCGTCGATTATTAAAAAACACATACAGGAACGCGCGTGCACGCACAAATACTAATTATGGGATGGTTTCCCTGGAGACTGAACACATGCTGCTAGGGTCTACAAAGATAGCTCTACATACAGGTGGAAAAAAAAGAAAAAAAAAAGCAATGTAAGACTGCACCTCAGGCCTTCTTTTTTTATGTAATTTGCAGAGATTTGAAAATATGAAAGATCACACCGTGTAGATCCGTGGCATGGCAATATAAAATACAAGTGTGCTTATTACTGTGTTTTTTGGCCTCTCAGAGAGCTGTTCTGGCCTTTTCAGAGAGCGATTTCCAGCGAGAGGAGGAAACAATGCGAGCAAACAGCAAGTGTCCTTTCCCCGTGATTGAATGTGTGTCCTTGTGTAGAAACTGCACTAGCCCTCTCTCAGCGAGCGAAAATATTCCTGCAGCGCTGAGGCTGATGTACAGGTGAGAGAATGGCCAAGGATTTTTGAGATCACCCGAGGCTTTGTGTCCACTATGGCCCGCTCACGCTGGGTCAGCTCAGAATAACCAGAAAGGGCTGACCGCCAGTGTTCACTCACCCCTGGAGTCATTAATCACACAGCACTGCAGATGAGCCACATGGACACACGCCGTAACACACACAAATATAGAAACCTGCATACACAATAGGGCTCATTTTAATTATAAAAGGCAAATTCTAGATGACAGAGTCGCTCCAGGTAGTCGTTCCTCAAGGCCTGTACTGGTGCATTACCATACACCAAACATCACAGACATGAATAATTGTGAGCAAAGCCCAGTCCACAAATAACAACACATCATATCACATTAGGCTAAGATAATCTGCAGCAAAACCTGCGCACATACACACACACACACACAATATCATATCTGTAACTTTCCTCCTGAGCTGTATTTCATGCTCCTTAAACACAAACATGCACAATCAGATCACGGTATCTGAACCCCCTGTATTCCCAAACAGGCCTCTCGGCTTGCAGCTGGCTCGCTATCAGGGGCAGGATCTCAGATAGCGTTCCCATTTACCGGTTATGAAATTCTTCAAAGGGCCCACGTGGCAGCGGACGCCCGAGTTTGTTAACAGGCGTGGTTGCATGGAGAAATACTCTGTGGTGGTTGTGTGTTACAGCATGTTTGTCACACGTAGCAGTCTCTTTACTAACGGCAACTAGGGGCGAAAAACTCAACATGCACCAAAAGTATAAACAGGGTCTTAGAAAAGTCGGTTATTGTAGTATATTTTTTACAAGGGCATCGAAACTACGGCACAAAAAGTGTTTAAAATGTGGACAGATGCTACTTAAATTGAGTCAATCAATCCCCATTTTGCTAAAGCAACACACACACAAATGGACTGTTTGCAGGTTTGCAAGATTGTTGAGATAAAAGGGGCAGAGATGTGAAAAAAGTACAATATACAAAAGAAGTGAGCACATCCTTACAATATCTCCTAAATGATCCTAAATTTTGTTAAAGGCAAGTTGAGCAGCATTTTGTTCTATTGTAAATTTTAAAAAATAGCAGTTTAGATTTACTCATGAAAATACAGGACTCAAAGTAGGAACTGAAAAGTCAGCAGTCATTACTGACATTCAAATCTATTTTGTCAACACTTTATATGTCAGCCTTTGTGTTTTACTAAATCCTGTGTTGCTCCACTTTTCTCCTCTAAATACCCCAGCGGTGTTCTTTTGGATTCAAGTCAGACAACGCACTCGTGCAGGTCAAAGTTTTCACTTTGTACTTCTTTAGAAAGTCTTGTGTGATTTTTGGCAGTGTGCTTTCGAGCATTGTCAGAATACTGCTCTTCTGCCAAGTTTCTTTAGACCGGAGAGTCGACTTGTCAGCCAGTATTTCGGTTCATCCACAGACATCCGTGGTGCATCTGTTAATGTAATTTCACTAAAACACCTTCTGCGCTCACACAGCCCCGTATCGTCGCACTCCCACCTACACGCTTCACTGTCGGGACCATGCATCCACTGTGGTCGTCCTGGTCAGGTTAACATGCTGGACTCCATCTGAAATGATTTATCTTGGTCTTACGTGACCAAAGAATACGCTCGTAATATTCATCAGGCTTCTTCTCGTGTTTCTCTGCCAAGTTTAGTCTTGCAGTTTTGTGCCAGAGAGCATGCAAGATTTTATTTTTTTTTCTTCTTGTCGATAGATGCGGATGTTATGCAATGTCCTTCACACTGTCGGAGCAGTTAGAATAACAATGATTTCCACTGATAACCCCCGTGTCATATCTGAGGCAGCTGCTGTCTGTTTTTCAGAGCCAGACTGTAAAGTGGTGCATTTAATGTGGTGTATAGGAGGACGAGCACTGCAGCTCTGATTAGTGGTACCATGGGTTGTTCTAGACTCCCTGATTACTGGTTGGTCATCAATCTTCTTGTATCTTTGTGAAGTCTCTCAATCAGACTGTTTCATTCCTCTGAGAATTCTTCATGTGGAGCCATGATGCAGACATGCATTTAGACACAGTCCATCGCTCCAAAACTAAGAAAGTTCTGGTGTTCACAGCTCATCTTATAACCGTTTTCATGCAGTTAGGCTGATTGGAAATCACAGATGTACTCAATTTGGTGATCACAGATTTCCTAACTTGTGCGTCAGTGGCCACAGGGGTATTCACAGTTTCTGCTCTGAGGCCGGTATTCTAAATACTAAATACTTGTTCGTTATATGCAACACCCCACTGTTCGACTTATAAATGACAAAACTATTGAGAGGTGACACAATTTTAAATACTTGACATTTAAGTGTTTTTGCATGAAGGTGTTCTCGCTTTAGTTGAATACTCAGTGTGATATTTCTGCCCTGACTCTGCTGTGAATATCTCACATTTTGAGTTTTCCGTTGTGAGTAAAAGACAAACCCTGTTTAAATACTGTGCTCGTCTTTGTCCACAAAACAGCAGCAGCATCTGTCGCAGTCTAACCAATCACACGTACAAACCCTCTCTTCACCTTTGCTGCACTCAGTGTAGAAAAGATAAATATATAAAAAGTGAAAAGCATCTGTCCGTTATTGTGCCACGGCAACCCATGCACGCTGCAGGGTGAAAGCTAGTTAGAAAAAAAAAATATCCTCTTTCCCCTCTCTAGAAGGTTTTATGCAAGTCACTCTGAAAAGTCTAGCAGAGAGAGAGAGAGAGAGAGACGCATTCTGCATAAGTTAATGTCAAATTCTTTCTATTGTGTCTCGCTGAATCCAATGAGTAACCAAAAAGCCAAAAAAAAAAAAAAAAACTGAAGGGGGAGAATAAACAGAATCACATAAAAATTCAAGCACTGCACATAAGCTTGGAATATTAGAGTGTCATTTAAAGATAGCATTTGTTGGTGGACAGTTTTCGAACAATGCTCGCATAAGGTGATTCACTTTTTAAGAGGGAAACACTGCTGCCGCCGCCGCTGAGCTCAAGTAATTAACATGCTGCTTTTGTGTGTTTTTGTTTGGATGTGCGCATGTGTCGCGTATGCCTGCTTGTAGAAACCACGCGTGGGTGTGTACAAGAGGTAAAAGCATTCAAAGGTGTTTTGCTTCTGCTGCCGGTGAGAAGTAAAGCTCTAAAACTAATTTCTTTCATCAACATCTGTCAAGGAGATTAAGCGAGGCATTACTCAAGTATGCACTTATTTTACCAAAAGCATTAAACAACTGACTGAAAGAGATTGAGTAGACTGCAGCTTTTAATGCCACTCTTCTTTGTGCATATCACCGGAATTCAAATTTAATCTTTGATAAGCAGGTGTGAAAGGAAAACCATTAAAAAAAAAAGGCACTTTGGAGAGCGCACAAGAAATACAGGGAAGCACGACGGGGGGAGAATCAAAGTAAGGAGGTGTGATCAGTGTTCCATGGGCGCCGCTGCTTCGTCCTCGTCGCTGCAGGGTTCATAGTCTTCGTCCAAGGCTGGGTCCCCCTCCTCTCCCTCCATCTCCCCTCCCAGTTCGCCCAGCAGCTGCTCCACATGCTCCAACACTGGCTGGTCATCACATCGAAGCTTACCGTACAGCTGGAGAGAAGGGGGGAAAAAAGAAGGGAGGGGGGGGACAAGAAAGGATGATGCAAGGGTATAATAAGCGAGTAAGTAGAATGGAGAAAAAAAAAAGGAAATTCTGAATAGAAAGTAGGTTATAGAGCAGAAATACTGAGACCGAATATGAAGTGCAAAATTATACTGTGGAGGCAATACAAGAAATGAGATATGGTGAGTGAAAAGAAGCTCTTTTCTTGTGTCACTGAAGTTAACAGTGCATCACTACAGCATCCATAAGCAGCCGCCTGGAGCTGGAGAGGGGTGGCGGGCGGGGGGGGGGAAGCGAGCAGCCCTGAGGTTTTAAGTCTCTAAGTGCCGGTTAGGCCGCCTGAAATATCCAACAGCTTCTGCATTCTGTCAGCGAAGGCAGTCGCGGCTCACAAAACGCTGGTAAACAGTTTTTGTCTTTCATTTGGCAAATCAGCACATTTGATACACAGTTGAGCCGCACAGGAGACTAAAAAGACCATTTATCTTCCTCCTGCTGCGTGCGCGCACACGCGAGCATCCGGCAGCGCATACGGTTGTGTGGTGCAGACGTGCACGCGCGCACATGTAATCAAAGTTATCTCGGTGAAATATGCCATGAAACAGCAAGATAAAAAAAAAAAGTCCTGTTCTCAAAGCAGCCGGAAGATTTATCTCTGTAAAATACTCTGCTTGTGTGTAATTACTGAACTCAAAGTGGGGCTGGGTGATAAAACTACTCGTGCTGCCACTGAGGACAGCTACCATAACGCTGTGTTTCTGCATACAGACTAAAGGAGAACGGATGCAGCAATTTATATTTATTCTTCCTTTTCCCAGAGCAGAGGGAAAAAAAGAAAAGCGAGTGGGTTTATATGATCTAGGAATATTATTCTATTTGGATGTATTTAACACACACGCGTGCACGGTCACTTAAACCTCATGGAGCATGGACAATAAGCAGCTGAGCGCCATCATTCTTACTAAAAGTGTAACGAGGCCAGGAGAGTGAAGAAGAGTGTGTGTGACTGCTCTGCCCCAGGACCAGTCTCTAAGCAACAGCAGGTCCTGACAGGAGACACGCAGCCTCATGGGAACTCATTTGGAGCGTTAGAATGTGTAGAGTGTGTGTGAGTGTGTGTGTGTGTATATTTAAGTGGATGCTGTCTCTGCAGGTTGGGAGCTCCGGGGAGGCAGAGCGTGACCCAGGTCCAGGCACGAGGGCTGATACCAGGAGAGAGGTGACCCTCTCAGACTCTTTAGAGCACACACACACACTGATTCTCATTCTACCAGTGTCACTCTGAAACGCCTCGAGATGTTTATCTCCCACCGAACGCTCTGAATAAAAGTGGGGTTTGCTTTACAATAGCTCAATCCCCAGAATAATTGCAACATTGCAGCCTTGCGTTAAAGGCAGAGGGAGTCTTTCATAGGAGTTGCGTAAGAGGGGGAAAAAAAAAACCCTCCAACACATACAGTGAATATGTGCAAACATACTGTATGTGTAATGCTGGAAATTGTATTCGTATGTGGCGATATTTACAACAAATCAATAGCACATTGTGTCTGCTGGACAGGATGTGATTATTCATTGTGATACTTTCAGGGAGCTAAACAAACAGGAGCTATTCTTTACACATTCGGCTGCTGAGATCAGCACCAGCACCGTGGAAAAAAAAAAAAACACAGGCCTTTCTCATTTACAACAGCCCGTGTTTTCTTTTCTCACTTTCACGGCCCAGAGAGCTGCCTAGAGAGGGAGGGAGAGTGTGTGTGTGTGTGTGATTGTATAACTTTTTCATGGTCCACTTTGCTCTACTTTCAAGCCCTAAGTCACGGCCCAGAGCACACTTGACCACAGCTATAACAACTCACGCACACAACATATTATACGTGCAGAGGCGCATGGACACATTTGTTCTCGACGTCTACTCGCCGGTCTTTTTATAGCCGCGCTGGTGGCACGGTTCTAAGGACGGTACTGTCGGCCTGTCTGGTCCGTCACTTTGGTGCTGACTGAAATATTTCAACGTTAATCGGATGGATTGCAGCGAAAATTTGTACCGAAATTCTCATTCTTCAAAAGGGCGAATACGCCTCCGTGAGTTTGTGGCTCAGAATGAAATATCTTGACAATTATTGGATGATTTGGCATTAAATCTAGTGCAGACATTCAAAAGTCCCTCGAAGATGAATCCTAATGATTGTAGCAGCATTAGCTTCAGGTTTCTTACCTGTAAAATGAAATATCTCAACATCTACTGGATGGATTGGTACTACAGATGAACACTCGATTTCACATCCAAATTAAAATCTGAAACTAAGGAATTAGCAAATGGCAAAGACTGCAGTTTAAGATATACATTATGTCGGACACAGGATTGATTTTTTTTAATCTTGCTTGATAGCAAAATGTGCAAAACTTTATTGGTGTATTTGCAGAAAGTTCCTATTATTTCCTTATTGGGATAACTTGACTTCCTGTTATTATTATTACTTAATTTATTTAACCGGACAATTTTAACAAGATTTATGAAGACTCCTCTATCTTCTATAAAAATAAAATAAATGCCTGAAGCCATTTATATCCTTAAGTTGTTATCCTTGCATTAGAATAGAGCTGTTGATATTCTGGTGGTTTCCTGTGTGGTTGTGATCAATCACATTTTGTATCTAGCGCACAATAAATATTCAACTGAAGCTTTAAAAAAACAATATCGCAAAAAACAATATCTGCTACCAATTAGATATTTTCCCCAAGTGGTGCAGCTCTGACTGGGATCAAATTGTGTTCATTCATGGTCCACAGAGGATGAATTATACTGACAATGTGCTAACAAACTTTTGGAATTATCATCGGATCAAACTTATATAATACTCCAGTAATTTGATTTATGGCCACTAACCACATTCCCATCAGCCTCTGCTTGTTTAAGCACTAACATTGACAACTAGCATCACTGGCATTAGTATTTATATCATCTAGTTTATGCACTTTTTCCAGTCATCATGCACACATATCAATTGACAGATAAATCGCATGACACATAGTCCTGATTTCATATGCCATACTCACAGCTTTATTTATACACAACATTGCTTCTAGTTTGTTAGCGCGCACATTCTAGTTACTTTGTCACTGTGTGTTCTGTTTACTTTCTTTTCTTTATGAAACCGTTACCTCCAGGTGTGGCCCCAGTTAAGAGGAGCCAGTGTGCCCAGCTGCCCCAAATCCTGGTGATGAGGGGTAATTGGAAGGGACGAACTGTGGCTGCTCCAGGGGGGGGGGGAAAAAAGAAGTCTCCTCACTATTTGATTTGTTTACTGTTAAAAGCATTTGTTTGAGTTTGTATATAAGTAGTATTATGTAGAATACATTATCTTTTTGTGTTTGTTTTCCCTTAAACCTAGCCTTATGTCTTTTGTGCCTTGTTTAGTCGTGTTTGTTTCTGTCTATCCCCCTGTTTAATGGTCTGATCAGCCAGTTAAAAAACCCCAGTGTGTGTGTCAGTGTTTGGTCAGTTTGTGCTCTGTTCTGTTCGGGTTAGGTTGGGATTTGCTTTAGTTCAGTTCTGTTTAGTTGACCTCTTTTTGTGGGCCCAGAACTGTTTTTACTTTTCATTATGTTGTATCTTTTTGGTATTTTTGTTTAATAAATACCTAGTTTTTTCCCTCACATAAGCTATTTGACCATTTAATAGGTGAGTTTGACAATGCAGAATTAAAATGACACATATCAACAACATCATTTGGACTAAATACACTATTTACGATATCTTTAATGTCATTCTGACCAGCCAAAACCACAGTAAGAGATCTCTGTAACTGAGTTTGGACTCGTCAGAATAACAGCTGCAGGTATTTCAATCATCATTTTTGACTCGTCTGAATTGCATGATGCTGCTCATACGAGGCTCCCGCTGGTTTTTGGTTCATCAAAGCATTTGAACAGTGTTTGCAGAAGTAATAGCAGCTACTGTGGTAGACAAGACTGTTAGAAATTAGCGTAAAACAGACAGAGCTCATCAGCGAGGAGTGTGAGGAGAACAAGAGCTTTGTTCTTTAGAGATTTGTGGTCAAACTTTACCAGAACTTCAACTTCAGGCAACTCTAACATGCAAGTAAAGTGTTCTACGTGGTTACGGTTGCAGTGTCACAGTGTGTTTGAAAAGAAAGCCGCCTCTGCCTCCCACTAGCTATAGTGTCGGAAAAAAGTTGCAGGTATCTGCAATGTCAATTCAGCGAGTCAAAACTTTAACTCAGTATCTGTAATTAGATTTTGACTGGCAGAATTCCAGCTTGAGATATCCACATCATTCTGACGAGTTCAAACTTCATGTAAGATGTCTAAAAATTCTTATATAGATAGTTTGAACTGTGGAGAATTAAAAAACATCTTGAAATAGAATTATGAAAAGTCAGAACTCAAGCGTAGGTATGTGAAAGTAGAATTACAGCAGGTCAGACTTCAGCTGAACTGCAGATATCTGTAACGAGAAACACATGAACGCTGTTGAGATCCGAAATGTTCTTTTTTTAATTGATTGAATTACAGATATCTGCAATACATATCTAGTTTGCCGTAGTTGTGTAACCTCACAGAGTTGCAGGAGTGACTGTATGCATCCTTATTCTTGTCAATACACATGTGTGGTGTTGCTGAATTTATAAAACTTCATCTTCAAAATAGTATTTTAAAAACTCAATAGCGAGTGAACACACAATGCAACAGCAGTGCACCCTAATTGTTAGGTTTGCTACAACGCCGGTGCATGTTCACCTGGGAATTGGCAAACCTCTAAACAAGAAAAAAAAAATATTTGAACGCTCCAAGTTTTGAGAGATTTCGTGACACGTTGTGGCATAAATCAACATGGCAGCAGTTATAGTGAAGAGTTGGAAGAGTAGTTGGAAAGTCTGACTTCACGATAATGACGGCGACGGCTCCGATCCCTGGTAATAGAACCGCACAGACCTATGGAATTTAATACAGAACAGAATCACTT